GATGTTTTATTTAAGCAGTGTCAGCTCTTTTGATCTCACTTATACTTATGGCTGTACAAATAATGATTTTTTTGTTTTTGCTTGGCCATTGAATTGAGAAACTGGAAGCAATTCTTGCTTTTAGTTGACCATAAAGTTGTTTTCAGGCAAGCTAAAATGAAGCAATTTGCTTAGTTTCAATTTCATCAGTCCTTTTCTACCGGCTTCAATAAAAATCAGTCAATTTCCAATTGAATTTCAGTTTTAATTGAAAACAGTGTTTTGAAACAAATACTCAAAATATCTTGTTTCCAAAGTTTAGAAAAAGTTTAGTCTTTTCTGGTTTCTTTATTTTTCTGGCTGRTGTTATCTTAGGCTATTTGTCAAATTCCCATATTTTCCTCCCYGAAGCAATATATTTTCATAAACTCRTTGCTTAGCAGAATGTTTTTACCCARCATTGTTAGCAGTTTTGCAACTCACTCCTTTTGCCTTAGTGTTTAAACGAAAAAGGTAACAGAATGTTGCTTTTAAAGTTTATAGCCTCTAGCCTACAGTTTGGAAAAACTGTTGTGATATGTAACATCAGGTATGAGTAGAGAAATCCAGCTGGAGTCTGTGAGAGTGAGGGCAGTAAAGGTGGCATCCAGGCRACAGAGGTACATTGTCAGGGACATGGAATACCATGTTTGATAGGACAGTTTGAAAATACTGGATAAGGTCTAAAATGAGATCMCTTACAGATTGAAGGAGGGCATAGGGAAAGAAATTTATAATCAAGGTTGGCACGGTTTTCTATTATCAGCACACTACTCTGGAGTTGTCCAACCTGAGCTTTCTTGCAYTTTCAGCATATCTGTTAATTGCAATTGTCAGAGACAACATTATCACAAAAAAGTAAGGATCTAATTAAAACCAGTAGGAACTGATTTCTTTATTTCAGCAAAAAAAGAACAAGGTAGCATATTGGTTGGGAMATTCTGCTTCTCTTAAAGAAAAAAAATTGGGTCTCCATACTCTGCAGCATCAGCGCAGTTGGGGCTGGGGGCTCAGTGCATTTACCTTGTGTGAACAAAGGAGCCAGACTATTCTGTTCCTTCACATCTGACGGTATCTGCTCTTTTGGACTAAGTGCACAGCTTCAACTGCCAGCTGGTGATAGTGAGATATGTATTTTAGAAGTCAATGAGATCACATGATTTGAAAAAGTTAAGTACTTGTTTATCTTATTGCAGTTTTTTTTTTTTGTTTTGTTATTAGAATAAAATTTACAAACTAATTCTTCTTACAAATGTCCATACTGTTCAACAAGAACAGTACGGTGAATGAATTCCAAAGCATAATACTGTGCCATGACTAATGGAGGGAAAGCATTKCCTATCAGACAGAGCTGCTCTGGAGGTTTCCCTTTGCACAAGGAACCCRTGTACTAGAAGATTGTTCTTGGCCTAAGAACCAGGCTTGCACAGCTTGGCCACTGAGAGAATGGTTTTGAAGGCCTTGCTAGTTGGAAGAAGAAGAAATGATCTGAAATAGGTGTTTCATCAAGTTGTCTGAAAAGATTTTTATTGTCCAAACTTGGGGACTAGCTCTTGGAGACACTAGGTACGGGATTTTGCTGCCAGGAAAGTGCTCCATCCTTTTGTTGAGCTAGACTCTAATGGTGGTTGCTGAWGTGTGTTATGCTGTCACCTGAGCCTGATGCAAATTCTTTAAATGTTAGAGAAATTTGGATTAAATGCCATTGATGAGTCAATTAGTTATCACAAACCTAATTGTCAATGTAGGACAGTGTAATCAATGAACATGCAATGTAGGACACAGTGCTTTAAAGGTATCAGAGTTGGTCTGTGGTATTACTGTGCAGAATCACTTTTTTCAAGGATACCTGAGATATAGAGAGGGGAGTATGTTGCTCTTCTGATCCCCCTAAATACTTCAGCTGTAGTGTCTAAGCTGGTCCCAGCCACTTATGATATTGCTCCATGTGTGCATGTGCTGGGAAGGAGCATTGGCATCCTCCATGATGAGGATCAGCTGTGGTCGGGACTCTTGACAGAAACAGTTAAAGTTTAGGGCTAAAACTTTCTGTTTGTAGTGTGGCTGAGTGCTGGCTGAGGGTTGGAGAGGTTACCCTGTCACTCAGGTAGGCAGAGAAGGAGCTACACTGCTCTGCAATTTTGGGTTTATTTTAAAAAGTTCTGCTATTTTTRGTAAGGGAAGTGTGAGCTGCTGCAGCCGCTGTGTGGGTCTGCACAGGCAGACTCTGATGGACCCTTCAGTCCTTAGGCAAAGCAGTTCCCTGGCTCTGGCTGCTCACTGCAATGTGGGAAACTCTGCTGTACAGCAGCCTGGCACACATGACACCTCCTCCCCACATTCCTGGTGGAAGATGGACCTGTCTGACTGTCTTTATGCTGCTGTAGTGAGCATTTGAAACAATAATCTCCAGGATGGATTGACAGGGAAGGTAGAGGTGAAGGGAGCAAAGGAGAGAACTTTGGGCATAGAATATATTACATTTAAATTCTGAGAATGCTCCACGGATGGGCCACATAAAAAATTAGGTTTACAATTTGAACTAAGTTCTGTAGGAAAATAATTGGACTGGTGGAGCAATCTCATTCTGACTAAATTGCTTTCCGAGGAGCCTATCCTGGATGGTGCTGTGCAGCTCWTTCTGATATTTGAGCATCCTCAGATCTCATTGACTTTGGTGGAAATTAAACTCATTGAACTCCTCACTAGGCAATTAGTTTCTATTTTTTCTGCTGCAAAGTGTAGCTGCCTTTCCCTCCTGTTAGCACTCACACCCTGTGCCACTCAAGTCCAAGCCTTAGCACACACGTACCATTTAATGGTTCTTTTGTGAGACATGTGCTTAAACATTTGAACACAGATTCTGCTTCTTTCTGTTTTCTTTGGATAGGATCCCTGATACTTTTGTTACACTGRCTGCACCACTTTAGCAAAAACAACATGCAAAATACTTGATGGAAATTCTTTCCAAAGTTAATCCTGTCAAAAGCTTATAAACCAGTTTTGTGTTTTGATTTGTTTCATTATGTAGGAAGTGTTTTGCCTTCAAAAAGCAATGGACATACTTCAAATTAAGAGGACAGCTTCCTTAGCATGGAAGATGAATGAGATAGGAAATGAGATCACGAAATTGTGGTTTATCTACCTTACYTTTCCATGAGAGAAGACCTACTGAAATGCGGTATATTTACAGTCCTCAAATTACTGAAGCTGTAAATGTTTTTGCTTTCATGGCCTCCATTTGTGCTACTGCACATTTTGGGATGATGGATTATGGAGCGCCAGATGTTGGGATGCAGAGAATCAATAGTGTGATACAAAAAGATGAAATAACTCTGATGGAACATCAATAAAGGCTAAAAGTTGCCATAGGGATTTGAATCTTAAAAAAGAGCCTGAGAAAGTGTATTGAGAAGAATTCACTTCTCCCCTTGCACTTGTAATGTCTTTATTTYGTGAGCAGAAGTCACCTGGGGGCTCTGTCAAGTACAGAGGTGGACGAATTTTTTCTTTTCTCTGTGTACATGGTGCCCAGTACAACACTTCTGGGCCACAGTGTCACTGTGTCAAGGTAATTTCAAGCCACAGCTGCTGTGGGTACAGTTTAGAATGTTTGGTGARGGTTTTATTTTATTTTTTAAGGAGTAAATTAAATTAAATTTGTTATGAATTTGCACCCTACTCGCAAAAGCAAACTAGATTAATACATTTAGAAGTAAYTAGCTGTAGTTCACCTCTGTGCTGTTAGGACACTGTTCTGGGGAAATGGCAGCTGCTCCTCTGCTCCTGTGACCCGTTCTCAGGGGACTTGGCCACTAAAAAGCACTGTAAAGCTAGGCTGTTAGTGCTGAGAAACCTATCTGTTTCTAAAAAGCAAAAAAGAGTACTGAAATATGCAACACAAAGCCATTAAGGTAAGGTTGGCATCATCATTTTTCTTTTGCAAATCAGGCAGTGGTATGTGGCAAAAGTTTTAGAGCTGAAATCAATTAACACAGAAACCAAGGTTAGGTCACACAGCTATTTTCTTAGCTCAAAGTCAAACCATCACAAAAAGAAGACAAGGAACACACTATTTGAAATACCTTAGTGTTATTACTAATACATTAAAATGCAAGACCTTTTCAAAAATACTRCTTCAGTCAAAATACTTAATTCTGCCTTCCAAGGAATAGTCCAGCAGTGAGTTTCAGCTTATAACCTATTTCAAGCATGACAATGCAGAACTACTCACATGCTTAAAGCTATGCACAAGATTAATTGATCAAAGTGARTAGCCTGGCTGGGATGAGATCAAATGCTCTGCTACAAGGACCTGACTCTGCCCATCTCACTCTTGATTTTTTTCTCCAGTAAGACACCTGTGAGGTTTCCTCCCACGCAACAGAAAACTGGTGCAGCCAAAGGCTACTCATGCCTTAAATCTAAGAGATGAAACCTTAAACTCCAGGATCAGGCCTTGTCCTTTARTATTGCATCACACTGACTTTTTTGGCAACTCGAGTTTCACAGGGGTTCAGTGCAGAATGTCCTCTAGGGACAGCTGCTTTGCAGATGTGGGGRGAGAAGGGTCATCAAGGGTAAGAAGTCATGCTTAACCTAGCCAGCACAAGGAGACAARCCCTGCCTTTAACCAGCTGCAGCTGGTGTTCTTCCTCAGTTCAAACCTTTGATCTAAATCAGGAAGACTGGGAACCTTAACCCAGCCTTTCCCATGTCGCAGCTGAATGCCTCAAGCAGCAGGATTTAGATCTTGCTCCAATTCTTTCAGGAGCTACAGAACCCCTGGGTCTCAGTGCTCTAAACCTACAGGTCTGAGCTTTGCTTTCCTTGGGGCAGGCAGTTCAGAAGGGGAGGCAAAGGGTGCAAAACTCAGATGCCTCAGAAAAAAACTTTTTAAGCCACAAAACACACTTCCTGCCTAAACACGCTCTGAGTACAACATCAATCTTTTTTTTTTTTTTTCTTGTCTCCACTTTCAGGTTGCTCCTATAATTAAGGAGAGGATGATGAAGAAGGGCAGCATGATGCTCGGGTACCAGCCTCACCGGGGCAAAGTCAACTTCTTCCGCCAGGTGGTTATCAGCCCGCAAGTCAGCCGAGAGGACATGGACTTCCTGCTGGATGAAATCGAGCTTCTTGCTAAAGACTTGTAGCTGTAGCTCCACAGCATCAGGTGCTGCTCATGTGTGATATTTATGGAGAGAGTGGCAGCAGCATTCTGGTGCTATTTTATGAAAGGTAGTAAAAAGCTTGACAGGTAGTTTGGAAAYTGTCATTTTACACATTGGTGTTGAGAACTCTGCAGGTAGAACACCCCTTCACAGGAAAGTATTTGCTGATGGGGGCTTGGGGACAAGCTGGTGCTTCCAGCACCATTGCTGCCATTCTGGGAAGTGTTTCCTTGAGAAGGGAGCACTTCTGAAAATGGTGTCTGTGTCCCAGAGAAGGCAGCTATTTRCTGGGTGCCTGTGCACAGTGTAGCTCAAACTGCATGCAGGCAAAATTCCTCTGAAGTTGTGGTCAGGAGTGGATTCGTCAGCAAGCCTTAAGATGCTAGTTAATACTCTGTCAATATTTCAGTTTGGTTGGCAATTTAAGTGATGAGACTGGAACTTGTGAACTTCTGTGAAGAGTTCCTTGAGGCCCCTAGCTATGTGGGTTGCCCGGGTTTTCTGCTGTGGTCACAGACAGTGGAATGGGGCTCAGTTCTGTCACCACATAGGGATGTTTGCAGGAACCTCCTGCACAAAGCCCTGAGTAACCARYRTKGACCCTGCTGTGAGCAGGCTGAAYCAGATGACCTTTCATGGTCCCTTCCAACCCATGGGATTTTGTGATTCCAAGAAACACAGTCATTGGGTCCATTCARTGTTTGCTGGTGTTGCCTACCCAAAATATTGCCACCACTTCAGGAGAGCTGAAAATATTGGAATAAAATTTRGAACTTCTTACCTCTTCATTAACAGGAGTTACCTACAGTTTCTGAACTGCTATTCACCTTCATCTATTTTTAAAGTGTAAAGATTTATTTAGCAGCTTTTAGATGCACTTTAAAATTTTAACAGAGAAAAAAATATATTTACCTAGAAGATACATATTTTTTATGCATGGTGACTTTATATTAATAATATAGCAAAACAGCTTATTTGTCATTGTTTGTTTGTATTTTCCTACAGATTTGAGATGACTCRATCTTATGTTATCAGTATATAATTTGTAATTTTACTCTGAAATTACAGTAGTGGTGATGAGAGAAAGTCTTCCTGTGATTTTAGGATATGAACAGCTGGAACATTTTTGGTCAATCTTAACTTACAAAATTAAATTTTGCACTTTGTGTTAAGAATTAGGCCATACCTTTCATCTGTTTTTTATTCTAGAAAGATGATCCTTTTTCTAAAGATAGAAACKTATTTCTTGTGATGATGTTGTTGCAGCAAACTAATGGAAATAGCCATGTGTTTCACCTTGTAATCAATGTCTACTCAACTTTAATGTTTTGCTGTTTGMTCCTTTTTCTGTATTTGAGGTAACACTGACCAATATAAACCTTTTCGCTATAATGTTTTCTCTTCTCCTGAAAGCTKTTTTTAAACACAATGCTTCCTTGTTTTCACTGCCTACATTGTACTATGATCCAACATTGCGTGAAATTCCTACTTCCAGTCTCCAGGATGAATGGTGTGGAAAGCTTAACAAGGTCATGATAACCAAGGAGGTCACACYATCAGAGCAGTAGTTAAGAGCAAGAGTCACCCTGCAGCACTTGACCGTTGCCTTTACCAGTGTCCTGGAAGTGAATGTACTTGTGCTTTCCTAGTTAATATACTTGTGCTTTCCTTGATCCACTGGATTTAAGCCAAACCCATGCTAATAGTATTATGAAAATTAATATCACAATGTGGTCCCTGGATTTTGCTCTTTAATACCCACAAATCACTCCATCATTCAGTGCCTTGTGCTCCTGGCTGTAGCAGCTATCCTGATCTTGGAAAGCCTATAACTAAATTCAGGGCRTGTAAGGCTTATTTTGCCTCTCAGTCACTCTGGGAGGAACATAGAGTGCACAAGGATTGCTGCATGGTGGGGATGACTTTGCTGCTGCTTCTTGAGTTACAGCTCTGTTACCCCTTCTTCTTCTCTTTTTTGACCTTGAAGGGAAAGACAGAATACAGTGTCAGGACATTGTGGTTATGGTCCAGATTCTTGGTGAATACTTAGTTTTTGATTAATGGAGAAGCAACAACACCTTTCATCAGCTAAGAATTTGGCCCATGGTGTTTTGTGACACCACCACTATCAAAAAAATGTTATTGTCTTGTTTCTCATCGTGTTCATTGTGCCTTTCTCTGTTTCCAGACACCGTGACTCTTACGGCACATGCCAGACTGAAAGTAATACAGTTCCTTTCTGTAGCAGTTGTGGCTATAGCACTTTTAATGAGAGCAAACTGGAACTTTTTTCATATAGAAAATAGGTCTCTGATCAACATGTGCACTGATTTATTTGAAGCTATAGGTTAACCTTCCCGTGTGATGTGAGTACCTTATCCAATCTCCATATATTTTCCATTGTTGCTGACCCCTTACCATGTCCCAGGTGCACAATATGATGGTTTAATTTCAGGACTAATGCAATTTTCTCACAGCTGCTTRTTTAGGACTACTGTGTACAAAATGTCTATTTTGTAGCTGGTGATTTTAATAAAAAGTGAAGTAAATGGCACCCTTATATATACAGGCTGTGTTTGTCATTTGTCAATCTAAAACTGCACATACAAATATAGAAGGTACCTCTAAGCACTCCAGACAGATAGCACTTCAACTTTAAGATGTGAAACCTAGTTTAACCCTGCTTCAGGATGTGGTTTATCTGTGTGTTGTGCCCATATCATCTTTAATAAACGTTTTGGATGAAAATATGTCACAATTTATCTTACTCGTGCTTTCAAATGCAGAATCTAAATTGCCTGTGCAGAAAGGCATTTAATTTCTATTATTTTTTTTTTGCTATTCTAGCTAGTTGAGATTGGCCCATGAGCTCCCTCTCCTAGTTATTAGAAGCTCCATCTCTCAGGGTGCTAAACCAGGTTCTGGAAGTAGTGAGGCACATGCATAAATCAGTGTAGAAACTGATCCATTTGTTATCTGCAATTTCTTGCATCTACTACTAATTATTTTTTCAATAGAAAAGGAAAGAAATATTTAGATAAAAGGGATACAGAGGTATATTTTGCTCTTAGTTGCGTGGCTGTATCATGTGAGAACTTTGGGCATTTTTTTTATGGGTTCATGTGCAAAATCACTCACATAAATCATTGTGCCTAGAGCCAGCAGTCCCTGTCTCAGAACTTYTATTCAGATTTTAAGTGATAAATTAATACTAATCATCAGAGTCTGATTACATATGGTTTTTCTGCTTCACACTCCCACTGATTTWACAGGAAACCCTTGCTGGATTGGCCTCCGAGTCTTATCACTGGGATCTTTCATTTCAACACCAGTTTGACACTCTGAATATAGTTTATCTGCTCGAGGTTTGTGCCTAGAGATTCAGATTTATCTTTATTTTTGTGAGACTGAATTGAAAAGTATTTTCATTTGTATCCTTCAATGTTGCATTGAGATGCTTTTCAAATATCATTTGACCTGTCCTTAAAGGACAAGGAATGTCCTTTAAGAAAAGCCTATTARAACTGGTAGAGCTGCATTCCCAGAATGCCAGGTAAGAGTATGTAAAAACCTGTTATGTGCCTGAGGCTTCCTCATGCACACACACCACAGCACTAATTCATGCTCAAATAATTTTTATTTTTAAATCTCTGGGTATCAGGATAGGGCTTACAAAACTGATATAAAATGCTGAAAGCACAGGAGAATAATTCGGAATTACTAAATGTTAATGGCTCTGTGGCAAGCCAAAAGTGGCATTTGAGCCCCATATTTTTAACACTGCTAAATCTGCCCAGCCTCTCTTCCCTATTGGCTGCTTCCATGGTTTTTCAGTGGYTGAGTGAAGCATGGAAAATCAGTTGTTGGAAATTAGTTGTTGTGGGTGAGGCCCGCTCACGCCTGCCCTTCTTTCCGTGGGGTAACTGGTAAATGCTGATAATTATTTGAGCTTATGTGTCGAGTGCAGTGACTACTAAATATTGCTACTGTTAAATCCTGAAATAATGCAATTGCACACRTTAATTTTGTCTTAATTGCTCACGCTAATTGCAGGTTAGATGCAATCAAAGCAGTGCTGCCTGGCAAATGCACTGTGCACACCACAAGAAACCCTGTTGGAGGGGTTTTCTTTCTTTAAATTGAAACTAGTCTCCCACAATTACATGTTTTTGCTTCAGACGTACAATTAGATGTTATTACTCTAATTCTGTAACTACTCAATAATCAACCAAAAAAAATTACTTTGAGAAACAAAACAAAACAAGGAAATTTGCACCGTGAGAGGCACAATAAAGAGAATGTCAAAGGTTTCCAGGCAAACCCACAGAAGGAAGCAATGGCTGTGTGAACGATTAACCTCTGCTATGTCTGTTTTGCCTGAATGTGCTGTGCTGTGCTGCAGGAGTGGAGCAGGGAGGCTGTTCCTGTCATGAACTTGTACATGCCCTGGCACTGCAGCAATCTGCCCAGCATGCCATGGCCCATCCACTGTCCCAGAGAAGCCTTGAAGGAGGCTGGACACTTTGCAGTACATCAATAACTTTCGTATGTATCAGGGCAAAGTTTGTTTTAAAGTGGTCTCAATAAGGAAAGTGACACTTGAAGGGGTGTTCTTTAAAGAGTCCAGCAGAGAGGACCACCTTCAGCCTTGTTAGCTTACATGCAACTAAAGAACAGTGGATCACATTTTAAAAATTCATTAAAGAAAACTAGCAAAATCTTTATTTTATCAAGGACAAAGGCAAATAATAGAAAGTGGAAGACATGGGCTCTTAATAATTCAGTAAAACACAGATGTTTTTTTTTTTTGATGAAGTAATTTCTTTCTTGTAACTTGGACAAAGCTATTAAAAAYGAAAAGTATGATGAAAGCATTTGTCATGAAACAGCACAGGCCCGTGGAAAGTAACATTTGTCTTTGGCACTGTGCAGTCTATATTGTCCTCTGCACAACATAGCTCTTCCAAGAAACTCTCATCCAGCTTGTCATTCTGGAAGTGACTCCTCAATTCTGTCAGGGACTGACACTGGCAGCTTTATCCATCCTTTCTTTTCATGCCAGAGGATATGGATTTTTATTTTTTCTCTGTTTCTGTACCCTCTCTTACGTCTGTAATTTTTTTTCAGAGGGATATTTTCAGTATTTGGAGCTATAGGAAAAATGTCAGAGTAGCAAAAGGGGTAAGATTGAAAGTTGCAGCAAMAGTAGCGCTCAGGTTATCTTGAGGTGATGTTTTGCCTTCCTTTTTCCGGTAATAGATTTGTCCAGATGCTCAGATGATGAGCAGTCACTGCTTCTGCTGGAATTATGGCAAAACCAAAATCAAGACTTCACAGGGGAGATCAGTTTGGCCTTGGGAAACTGAGTAAGASAGTGAGAGAGAAATGTTGCTTGTCCTCTTTTACAGATGAATGATACACAAAGAACTTAAAAATTCTATTTTTGTGAAAACTTGTCCTGTAGCTTTAGAAAAATTGTTGAAGGAGTTACTAACAGGAGACAGCAGTGTGTGAAAAATGAGACATASTCTGATATGGGCTTAGCAGAGGGAGATGCTACTGAACTAGCCAGAGAGCTTTA